ACTAGTTCTTTTCCATAATTATAATCCCCTAGTAGCCACTTTGAGTCAATATACATACATAACCATTTCTTTTCATGTGTCTAAGTTATCCATACCTCCTTACACTGGATTAAAGTCTATAAATAGTCATTTTTCCACCTTTATGCTTCCAAGTGTATAGTAGGTGTTGAATGTCCATTTGAGAAGAAAAGTAATGAGAAAAGTGATAAGAGATGATAAGTGCTCGGGTAATGCAAAAAAAAAAAAAGGCGAGAAAAGGAAAAAAGAAAGAAAAGAAATTTGAAAAAAAAAAAGAAAAAAAAAAGAGGGGATTGTTGTTGGGAATTGAAAGGTTAAGGAATGCGTTGATGTAAAGGATTGCTATGTTGAATTACTTGTTGAGATGCCTAACTAGATACTTGGAAGTCCTTAAATTCTTTTCACCCTACTTTTCATATAACCCAGCTTAACCCCTTTCACACCCTTTGCATTGACTGTTTTGATCTCAAGTACCCCTTTCACACCCTTTGCATTGACTGTTTTGATCTCAAGTCGGTTTGTGGTAAGAAGTTGATGAATTCTCATTTGAAAGTATGCCTATCATGTGATCAATGTCTGCTTGTTGCTAATTATTAAAGCCTCCATGTTCTGAGTGTGCATCTTTTCCAGCTCCATAGAGAGAAATTCCGCACTAAACACTTTAATATCCGTGAGTTATGGGGCTGGACCTTTAGCTAGAGATACACTCGATGTTGAATGTGTTAGGGTTGGCGGTAAGATGGCTATGGCTTGACACACACTTACACATTTAGCAAGTGTTTATGATATCTTGATGATCATAACATTGTTAATTTCTGGTGGTGTTGAGTTTGAAAAGAGAATGAACTATTATTGAATTAGAACTTAACAATTTCACTTGTAACATGGACCAATCACTCATTTGCTTTACTTTGCATTAAATTGCTAGGGACTAGCAATAAGCAAGTTGGGGGGTGTGATAAGAGTGTAAAATACCATATTTTCCCCTCTTAACTATTGCATTCATGTGATTGTATTATGCCAAAATGCACTCATTACTCTTATATTTTGGTTTATGTTGCATTTTGGTGAAAAAGATGAAATTCGGAAGAAACAAGTGAAAAATGACCAAAGTAGAAGAGAACGAAAGTTCGAGGATTAAAGTGCAAATGATCCAAACTTGTGTCCAAGATTATGATAAAGATTCGAAAGTGTTAGAGGTCAAGTGGATGAGGAACGAAGTCAAAGGGATGAAATAACATCAAAGTTTGATCAATACATCAATTTCCAATCGAAAACCAACACACCAGTTTTCAGTCTCATGTTGGGACCCATTTTTGACATGGAAGATGATCGAATTGGGAGATGACTTCTGAATAAAAATTGTGGCCCTTTGAGTTAGCTATCCAATGCAACTTGAATCACCTCAATTGGACGTCGGAAAAGAAAGTTACGATTAAAATACTGAAAGCTGTCTGACGGAACCATGCGGCCGCATGCCTTTCTACTATGCGTCGCATACACCTATACCGAGAATTGAAGAGGCTGAAAGTGCATAACCATGCGACCGCAATGACAATAACCATGCGGTCGCATAGTGCTTTTTTGGCGGCTGAATCTCAGTTTCCTTATACGATTGAATCTCTTATGGTAACCTAATTTTCACGGGATATAAATGCCCAAAACCACCCAGAACGAAGGGAGACGCCCCCAGACCTATTTCTTTCATCTTGGTGCTCAAGAAACTCCACGGAAAACTAAGGAACTCGGTGAAGCAACGAAGGAACTCATTGGATTTGGAGATTTCACGTCATAATTTCATGTAATTCGAACTCTCTTTGCTTAATAATTTCTAGATTTAGATTTTCTCGTTATGAATTAGTATTGAAATTTGTTTAACTTTTAATAAATTTCTCATGGATTCAGTCATGCTTTTTCCATTGTTAAATTAAACTATTTGTTGAGTTTCAATTTAAATTACTTATTGTTGAGATTATTTTAACTTTTATCAAATCCTTCATAGATCTAGCCATGCTCTTTCTATCGAATGATTGAAATAATTGTTGAATTTTAATCTTAATATCACTTTCTTGGCGGATTGATTACTACCTTATGCCTGACGTATATGGTCGATTTTTGATCTTGTTCCAATAAAAATGTGCGAATGTGTTATAGAAAATCTAGATTTTAGAAACATAATTGGAATAAAATTGGACTTCACTGTTAAATATTCCAATTAGAGAGTTGGGAAGAAAACCTCTAATTGAGTAAAAATACATGAATTATTGATGTTGATTGATCCAATCCAATGGGGGAACTCCGACGCTTCACTAATTCGCATATTGATAATTAATTTTTATTTCAAGTGACAAATCATTCCCACATTTAATTACGAAAACCCTAGTTTGTTTGATCTTTTGAGAATTTTTCCATCTCCCTGTGGATACGACACCCCAAAGCTGTACTACAATCACCGCGTTATTCTTTGGGCGTAATCATTACTTTAGTTTGATAAAGTTTTATTGCTTCGTATTAGCATTTTATTTTTACGGATTTTTCTTGAAAAGTCAACGAAACGCTCTCTCTGTTATTATTGTGATATTATTTTGTTGGTATTTAGATTAATGATTTGATGTATATAGTTTTGTTTTATTTTATCACTAATAAAGTAAAAAGATATTTTGTGATCAACATACTAGTGACATTATAATGAACAATAAGAAAAAATATACACTAAAAATAAGGTTTTTAACCAAAACCATTCAATTAGGTTTAGGTTTGAGAAAATAAATGGAGGACATAAATGGTTAGAGAGAGGAGCTCTCAACTTTAGTGCTTATTTGGTAAGAATTTAGATAATTGATTTTTTTATCGCTAGAGATAAAGTGAGTCCTATATGTGAGAGAAAAATTTAAAAATTACAGCTTGAATAATGAAATAACGGTCAAAAATTGATTTTAATTGGATAAAATATGTACTAAACAAGCACTTAGTGAGAGAATCACTCTTATTAAAGTCGTCCTTTGCATTTGTGAGCTCATAGATACTTGTTCGATCTTACTCTTGAATCCAAAAATATATATTTTGAAAAATCTGTCCAGATTTTAAAAAAAGGTCGTATCTGAAGATTTCAAATTTTCTTGGAGGCTCAAATTTTGGCGAACATTGTTAGGTAGGTTCACGAAAAATCCAAAGTGTTATCTTTGGAAATCTCAAGTTTTCTTGAAGACTGAAAACCGGTTAGGTTAGTTTAGCAATGTCCTTGAAAGTTTCAAGTTTTCAGCCTCTTGGAAGATTTGAAAATGGTAACAGGTCATATGCATTGTTCTAGCAGTATCATGCAAAGTTTTGCCAAGTTTCTTGGTGCTCCTCTTGTTGGGTATAGAAGGAAATAGATAAGAGAAATATGATATTTGAGGAATTACAAAGGAGTTGTTACAGTACACTCTAATTTTTTTGAGAGATTTTTCTCACTTTTTCTACATATATAACACTAGATGGATACCCTTCTATTTATAGAGAACATTGGGTAAACTAGTCCTAAGAATTTACTACAATTACAATCAGATAAAAGCTATTTTTCTTCATCATGTGCAGCTAGAAAATATGTATTTGTAGTCGACTGATCAGATGGTTGCTATCTGATGTTTAATTTTCAGATTCTGACTTGCAAGGTTGAACATTGAAGTTGAGTATACAACTTGAATTGAAAATCTTATCCATTTGATCGTTCAATGAATGAAACCTTTGTTGGTTGAAGTGTTCAATTTGGATTTGAACTCTTGAAAGATAGATTACAAATTAATCTTTTAACACCTCCTCGTAATTTGTAATCTTCAAAT